TTATATAGACAATGATCAAAATTTAATTAAAAAACATATTTCAAATCTATTGGAAAATTTATCCACATCCAATGGATCATAACAGTTTAAATAATTTAAATATAATTCAATGGAATAGTCGTTCTACTGTATCTAATGCGCAATCTTTCAAACAATTTCTGTATTCGAATGCTATTGATATTGCAATTTTATCTGAAACATGTTATAAGACAAAACACAACATTGTTTATAAGGGATACCAAATTATTAGAAAAGATCGTCAAGATCGTAGATTTGGAGGTGTAGCTATATTTTTAGGCCTACGGATAAATAAGTATAAGATATTGGATATTATACATGTTGGAACATTGGAAATGTGTGGTGTAAAAATTGATTTTAATGGCAGAATAATTAACATAATCTCATTATATAAACCTGACAAGAATATAAGCACCCGAGAATGGGAACAGCTTTTTAATTGGTGTTCCTCACTCGAAGGAGAGACGGTACTAGGAGGTGACTTCAACGCCCATCATGCGGTATGGGGTTCTCCAAAAAATGATACTGATGGCAATAGAATAATTGATGCATTAACTGATATGGATTTAATATTTCTAAATGATGGTTCGGCGACTAGAATTACCCCTCCAAACTCTACAAAATCAGCTGTAGACTTAACGCTAATAACTCCTGGACTAATTACACTAGCACATTGGCAAACATTGGATAGAACTCTTGGATCTGATCATTATATTATTTTCATCAAGTTGAATATTGATGTACCCTCTTCTGTTGTGTATCCAACAAGGAAATGGAAATTACAGAAGGCCAACTGGGAATTGTTTCATAGCACTCTTGAAATGGAACTGAAGAATGTTGTATACTCTGAAAACTGTAATGAAATGGTATTTAATCTGAATAGAGCAATTAATACAAGCAGTGAAGCTTCTATCCCCCAAAACGTACCTTTCAGTCCTAAACATAGACAAAAATCAATTTGGTGGGATGATGAATGTAATACACAGCTACAGCTTAAGAAGAATGCTCTTAAAAAATACAAAACCGCATCTACACTGAATAATTTTCTTGAATATAAAAAGATAGAAGCTACAACTAAAAAAATGTTTAAACACAAAGCCAAAACAACGTGGATTAAATTTTGCTCCAGTCTTAACTCTAGTTGCCCATCAACTCAAATATGGAAGATGGCTAACAAGTTAAACAACAAAAACGCAAACATCAAACATGCTCCTTCCGCAGTTGCAGAAGATATTCTTCAGAAGTTATGTCCACCATTTGTTGACAAACATATACCTTACATGGCTTTAAATCCAGAAGAACATTACTTATTAAAAGAAATAACATCATCTGAACTGGAATATGCTATCAAGATATCCAAAAACACAGCTCCAGGTCCAGATCAGATTTCTTACATTATGTTACAAAAAATGGGTGTACTGGCTAAAAGACTACTACTACATATTTATAACTGTATTTTGCAAACTGGAATACCTCCTTACAAATTTAACGATTGCTTTGTTATATTAATTCTAAAACCGGGAAAAGACAAAGATAATCCGGAATCATATAGACCAATAACATTATTGTCATGTATTTTTAAAACATTTGAAAGAATTCTCAAATTGAGAATGGAAATTTGGTTAAGGCGGCATAATATTCTACCAGCAACACAATATGGATATAAACAAGGCTATGGAACCACGGATGCAGTAGTTCGTCTGACTACAGATGTTCAAATTGGTTTTTCTAATTCTATGACAACAGGTGCATTGTTTATTGACATAAAAAGTGCATATGACAATATTGATTTAAATATACTCTGTGATAAACTTGTGTTTCTTGGCATTCCAAAATCGATAGCACATTTACTATCAAACCTATACAAAGAGAGAAGTGTATCGATAAGAGTAGGTCCCAATATTATTGGACCCAAGATCACATCAAAAGGTATTCCACAAGGAGCTGTTTTAAGTCCACTTCTTTTTAATTTGTACACATACGATTTGCACAATTTATGGTCTCCCAATATTGTTTGCTTACAATATGCTGATGATATTGTCATCTATTCACATAAGAAAACGTACAGTGAAAGCACTACTGAACTCAAACATATTATGTACAACTTGGATAATTGGACTTGGTTAAATGGATTTAATATTTCCTACCAAAAATGTGCCATAGTATTTTTTTCAAGAAAACACCCTATTAAACATCACGCTGTAACCTTACATGGCAATGATATTCCAATTGTTTCGGAATTTAGATATCTTGGTGTCATACTTGACAGGAAACTGCTTTGGACTCAACATATTAATTATACAATTGGTCGCTGCGAAAAAGGTATTAATTTTCTTAAAATGGTGTGTAAGAGATCGTGGGGTGCAGATCAAAACATTGCATTGAATTTTTATCGAGCCTATATAAGATATATAATAGATTACTGTTGTGTGGTATATGGGTCAGCTAGTATCACCAATTTACGTAAACTTGATAGAATTCAATTTAAAGCTCTAAGGATTGTGTTAGGATTGATGAAAAGCACTCCAAATGAAGCCACCCTAGCTCTAGCATCTGAAAATCCACTCTCATTACGCAGAGAATATCTAGCAAGCAAATATTTCCTAAACCAACATTATCGTGGCACTTATAATGCAAAAATAATTAATGAATTAAATACAGCGGATTTAACATCTACATACTTCGTTAAAAAAAACTCTCCACCACTTGCAAGAGCAATTATAACTTGCAACGAACTGAAGTTAATAAATTCCCCTTGTAATTTTATCTGGGAATCGTTGGATATACCACATCTAACAAGTGTTCTAGCTACAAATATTATTATCCCAAAATACCAAAACGAATTTTGCTACACTACTCTTAAAGAAATCTTAAGTGGATATTCAGATCATATTGTGATCTATACAGACGGGTCAAAATCACCAACATGTACAACCAGTGCTTACTTTGTACCAAAAATGAAGATTAAAAAATCATTTATTTTAAATAATCAATCCAGCATTTTTTCTGCTGAAGCGTGTGCTATATACAAAGCCCTTGAATTGTGCTGTGAAAACCAGTGGAACAAAATTGTCATATGCAGTGATTCACTGTCAGTATTGCACTCCTTACAAAACTTTAAATTCACAATCAATAGCAACATATTCATATTAGAAATTTTTCAACAGTTACTAAAACTATCAGATCCATATGGTACTAAATTTCTATGGGTCAAGGGACACTCAGATATTGTTGGCAATACTATTGCTGATTCTATAGCTAAAAATCCATTACAGCACCCACATATGGTGATAAAAGAATTTAACACATGTGATCTACTTGCCTATATCAAACAACAAATTAAATTTAAATGGGACAGACAATGGATTCAGTTTGGAGAAAGCAGGGGCACTAATTTATACAAATTACAACCCACAGTAGATGTAAAACAATTTTACAAAGATGTTACACTAAGCAGAAACACAGTGGCAACTGTCTTAAGATTAAAAGTAGATCATGGATGTTTCCCGAAACATCTACACAAAATAGGAGTTCTCCCAACAGACCGATGTGAGTGTGGAACTAGTATAGCTGATTTAAATCACATATTCTTTAACTGCCCACTACATCGTAATACAAGCACGTGGCTGATAGAAGAATTGATAAAAGAGGGATTAAGTACACCACTAAACGTAAATCTCCTATTAAGTGAAGACAATATAAAAATCTTTAAAATAATTATGATATTTCTTGTAAAAATTAAATTAAAGGTATGAGTGTAAAATTGATCGTATGCTTGAACATTTCCTTTGTATGTTTACCATATATGTTGCCCACCTACCTAACCGTGGTTTATGTCTTGTTTGTTACAATAAAGCCGCTCTGATGAATCCCTGAGCGTGAAAAGTGTCCTCCTTGTACAATCCTGTATGAATGAATACTAATATTTATATTTAATTACGTGGCTAAAGGTTTCAAGCCAAAGCCATTAAAAAAAAAAAAAAAAAATTCTAGACTTACCTCCAATTATAAGCATTCATTTTGTAGTCCAAAACCTGGCAATTCGTTAAAATCGTTAAAACTTGTCGAATGCCGGCTCTTCAAAACACTCCATCTAGAGCCATCTATCAGTTGGTAGCTGTACTAACCTAAATTACGCATAATTTACACTGCCTTTTAAAAGGACGGTAGTAATATCTGGGCTAACACGAACGTTTTCGGAATAATAATTCCATCATCAGATTAGAAATGTATGTTAACCTGCATCAGAATTGCTGCAGGTGACACAAATCTCTTAAATACTTTTTTAACCTCCTCTGTAACTAGACATACTTCACAATTTACTTTTCACTGCTACATATTTCCATAAAAAGGGACCAAAAATAGAAAACTAGAAATTCGAGGGATGAATTTGGATCCATACCTGAGCCTACAGCGACTCAAATTAGAATGACGAGATTATCTAAAAAATTCGTTCACATAACTTGAAAATAAACAAAACACAACGGAAATTAAGACGTAAATTATTAATTTGAAAGCGCAGTACATCGGGCTGCTTAAATCAAATAATTATCGACAGGAAAATACGCAGCTGCGAAATAAATAAACAACTCTAAAATGGTTTATATTACTTGACTACGCTAAGAGGAATTGATAAAACTCTGCGATTTTTAAAACATTTATGAGGGGATTTCAATAAACACCAAAGAATCAATAAAATGTGCTACAGAGTCCTTATTTGCTACTAAATAATTGTTTTGAATTATGTCGATTAAAAAGTCAAGAAAAAAGTACGTCGAAGATTTCATGGGTTCATATCTAAGGAAAATTGTAGAGATCTTCATGAAAAGGATTAAAAATAAGAGTGAATTTTGTACTATAACTATTTTTTTCTTATCTGTCTTAAAATTTACTAAGATTATATTGTTTTAAAAATAAATACAAATAAATGACAAAAGACCTTTTCTAGAAGAATTCTACTAAAATATTTCCTTTGTTTTCAGATGAGGAAGGAAATATGGATGCTACTAATACTGACGCTAGCGGAAAGAACAGTACCGACCTCTGTATCATCAGGTGACTTATCGAAATGTTCATATGGAGAAAGAGGGTCATTGACTTCGACTTGCGTCAACGCCTATCCAGCCTATTTTAGAAGTACCCCGTATCGGTTCGATCAGTTGGACGAAACTGTCAAATGTGTAAACTGTACCTTGACTGTCATCGATTCCGGAACTTTTGATATATCTGGAAACCAGATAAAGAACCTCTGGTTAAATAGTAGCAAAATTGAAAAGATAAATCCTAAAGGATTTGTTGGGTTGATATTTTTAGAGCGGCTTATCATTAGCTACAACAGTATTAAATCAATTTATCCAGGAACTTTTACTGGAGTTAAGAAAATAAAAAACATCGATCTATCTCACAATCAGCTAGAAATATTGTCCGAGGATGGATTCCTGGAACTCGTTAATCTTGAAGAGTTGAATATGGAATCTAACAACATACAAACCATTGCTCAGAAAGCGTTTAATGGACTTACTAATATTAAGATCCTCAATCTTAAAAATAACAGAATATCGGATGTGAAAGGTGTTTTTACCAATATGACATCTTTGAGTATTCTTAACTTAGAGAACAACCACATACAAACATTGGGTGGTGATGAGTTTCTTAACCTAACAGGCCTATTAGAGTTGAATTTAGCTCACAATAATCTTAGAAGTCCTGTGATTGAATTAAAATCAAACAACCTTTTAAAGAACCTTTATTTGCAGAACAATTTGATTGATCGAATTCAAGATAAGTTTCTGAAGGGTTTACACAATTTAGAAAATCTAGATGTAAGTAACAATCAATTGATGGACATTAATACAAGAACATGGGCAAATCTATATAACTTGCGTCATCTTAACTTGTTCAACAACAAAATTACATCCATACAGACAGGAACATTTGCAGGCTTGCCCCAACTAGAGCTACTCAACTGTTCCCACAACGAAATTATCGAAATAACTATCACTGGTGTATTCTCTTTGCACAGCTTACATGCCCTAGACCTTTCCTACAACAATCTTACCGATTTCGACTACGTAGGGCTTATTTCTAGGCTTCCCAGGCTCTCTTATCTACAATTAGAAAACAATAAGTTGCCTTGTCCTTTAGAAGATGAGATGGAAAGATATTTCGCAGAAGACAACTTTAAATATATACTCTACGATCCCAAAGTAGGCTCCTTCAAGTGTGTTGACACACCAATCAAAAGTTCACTGAAAGCGGTCCATGATGTGGTCGGTTCTGCGCAGCCAGTCTCAGCAAGAGTCACGGGTGCAGAAGTTACCATCATTGTTCTCATGTGTGTAGTGTTTGTTTGTATCGGCTTCTTGTTTTATATGCAATACCGTACTTATCAAGAGATCAACTGCAAGGGACCAGCCAGAGCGATATCTTCGGCAGGGTTAGTGTCCTCGGAAATTATCGAAAATGGGGAAGAAAATAATTACTTGCAAGAATAAATGAACTTAACGATGGACGATATGTGTAGATATCTGTTTTTGAAAACAAATATGTGATAAATGAGATATTTGTGTAAATGAGACCAATAAGATTATTTTTAATATACGTTCCGTATTGTTATTTTGATAGTAAAAAATGAAAACCTGAGTGTTTTGAATTAGTTTTTAATAAAGGAAACTGAATATTAGTCCAGGAAACAAAGCTTAAAATAGGACAAAATGGATTTGCTTAAAAATTTGGGATTACGTTGAAATTACCCTCTCTTTCAAAATGCATATTGTGCCCATGGGTGTTTTGTATTTGTTAAAGAGTGAAAGCTACCCCTCATTGCAAAAATCTATAAAAAAAAAGAGGAAAAAAGAGTGAAATTTTTGATTATAGTCTCTAGCTATAATTTTTGATTATTTAACCCCTCAAAAATTCATTTTTAAGGGTGAAAACTACCCCTAATTATTACCCTAAATAATAGTTTATTATATTATTATATATTATATATATATATTATATATTATTATATATATATTATATATTATTATATATATATTATATATTAATATATACCCCTAAATAATAGTTTAATATTCTTAATATAATTTCAGTATTTTAATCCTTCAAAATTTACTTTTTAAGGATAAAAACTGCTCCTTATTCCAAAATCTATAAAAAGCGTAAAAATAGTAAAATTTGGTTCAGATAAATTCAATAATGATGATCTGATACTCTAGCAATAATTTTTAATTATTTTAACACTACAAAAATTCATTTTTAAGGGTGAACACTACCCCTAATTGCTTAAATGTATAAAAACGTTTATTATCATCACCGTAAGGGGCTCGGCAATCCGTTGTGAATCTTGGCCTGCTCACAAAGAAGTCGCCACTCCTGTCGATTTATGACAACTTCCTTCCATCTTTTGACCCTTAGAAGCTGTAAGTCTTCTTCCACATCATCAATTCATCTCCTTCGTGGTCGTCCTCTACTTCTAGTGCCCTCTCATTTTGAAAATGTTAATTTCTTCATGTATTCGTGATCTGACATTCTAGCAATGTGTCCAGCCCAGCTAAGTCTCTACACTTTATCGAATTTCGCAATATCTGGATCGGTTTATAACTGATATAGTTCAAAGTTGTTTCTTCGACGTCATAGCCAATTTTCATTTACGGCTCCAAAAATCCATCTAAGAATTTTTATCGCAAAAATATCAAGAAGTCTTTTATCATTTAATGTCAAAGAACGTACAGTTTTCTCCTTCAATTCTAACACATGAGCTTCCTTTTGCAGTGTTAGTTGAGTCAACTTAACTAACTTAGGTGGGATACCAAAGTCTATTATTTATTATTTAATGCTATTTTTTCACACTGCCATAGGCTGCTTTGAAGTCGACGAAGACCTGGTGAGTATTTATGTTGTATTCTAGTGACTTTTCTAGAATTTACCTATGTGCATGAACTTGATGTGTTGTTGACTTTCCAGCAGTAAATCCGCATTGATATTGACCAACAATATCGTTTGGAAAATGTTTAAGATTGCCAAACATTTTATACGCAGATGCTAACAGAGTAATGCCTCTATAGTTTTTACACTTCAGTTGATCACCCTTTTTATGCAACGGACATATTATTCCCTTTAGCCACTCTTCTGGTACCAATTCAATCTGCCATATTAGTACTATTAGTTTATGGATTGCTGCAAAAAGTTGATCACCAAAATCTTTGAATGTGCGCATTCTCTCAAATACATCTTTATACTTTTGTGTAAAACTTACGTTTTCACACAAAAATTCTAATTCACTTTTTGTATTCCAACTTTATTGTCTATTTTTAAATGTATTTATTTCCAACTTTAGAATTTGGAAAAAAGAAAATAAAATAGAGTATTACTACTTACTACAAACAGTCTCGTCTTCCTTCATTATGAAATTTATCTGTAAACTTTTTCCGACAATGATTCTTCCAGAGCACTCCAGTCTTTACTACTTTCTTTTTCATAATTTGTCGAGTTTGTGATATATATTATTGTCCTTGGTTCCTTAATATTGCAGCTTTCTTGCGTTTCCATTACTGGATTTCGTGTTCGGTTTTAGACACCTTTAGTTGTCATTCAAATATTTTGTGTTTTCCTGAATTAATATTCAGGCCTTCAGCAGTGACATGTCTTATATTTTTATCTTCAAAACAATTTGACGGAACGTCGAGATGTGCTTTCTGTCTCACTAGTTTTATTTTATTCTTTATTAGTTTCTACTATTTTTTTCTGAATATTTTTCTTAATATTGTTGGAAAGCTATAGACCTTTTCTAGCTTTCTTCAAACCTATTTTACTTAAAATCTGAATGGTATAATGAGGGTTGTCAAGTTTTCAGGCAAGTCAACGTTCCAATTCTAAAAAGAAATATGTAAGTAGGACATGCGCGAACCTTATGTAATTTAGAAATCTGCCATTAGGTGGCGCATACATTCAGTTTCGTAGGATGGGACTGTTAACGGGTATAAAATGAATTTCAATACCTAGCAAATTATATATCCAGTACGTATATAGGTATTTTAATCTGATATCTTGTTTGATTACTAGGAACTGTATTTTTATCTATGTTCTCACACAGATACAGTTCATTTTGTAAAGATTTCCATTTTTTATATAAACACGTACGTTTATTCGAATATTACAATCCTAATGGTAACTAGAATAATAGTTTTAGACGTGTCTTCTTCCTTTTCTAGTTCCATGACCGTTATCGATGATTGGATATCATGTTGGCTACCATATTCGCTATCGTGACTTTATTGATAGCAGCTTTAAATAACGATGTAGTTGATTTTCCATACCATTGCCTTAGATTTTTCAGCCATGATGTTCTTCTTCTACCAGGTCCACGATTAACTTGGATCTTTCTCTGAATGATCAGATGTAAAGGATAATATTATTTTTCAGGTGTCTCATAATGTGACCGAAGTATTCCAGCTTGCGTTTCTTTATTATATTGACCAGTTGTGTTGTTTGGTTCAGCCGTCTAAGGACCTCTTCATTTCTAACTCTGTCCACCCAGCTTATTTTCAGTAGTCGTCTGTATACCCACATCTCAAAGGCTGTCAAGCGTTTAAGGACAGCCTCGGGCTTGTTCTATTCGGCTTTTAATTTCTGCGGTTGGATCCCAGCTCTCATTGATATTACTACCGAGTTACACGAGTTTCTCTACTCTGTCCAGTGTGGCATCTCCGACTTTTATACCGTTATCCTGTGTATAATTTTATTTGCTATCACATATTTAGTTTTCTTAACGTTGAGTTTTAATCCATACTGATCACAAGTCTGTTTTATTTTGTTCATTAGATTTTGAAGGTCTTCTCCGCAATTAGCAAGCACTAAGGTATCGTTGGCATATCTAATATTGTTGAAGGTTACTCCATTCACAATAATACCTTTAGTTGTCTCCATTAAAGCTTCCTTAAATTTTTCTCCGAATATAAGTTAAAAAGTAAAGGCGACAATGTACAGCCTTGTCTCACTCATCTTTTTATATTGATTTCATTCGACAGTTCTTGTTCAACCTTTATTCTTGCCACTTGATGCCAGTAGAGATTTGTAATTATTCGTAGATCTTCATCGTCCAATCCAACTGTTTCCAATATTTCTAGCATTTTGTTATGTCGGACTTTGTCAAAAGCCTTTTCAAAATCGATTGCACAAATGTACACATTTTGATTTATATCTCTGCATCTCTGTACTAGCACCTGTATACTAAACAAGGCTTCTCTTGTACCCAAGCCACTCCTTTAAACCCAAATTGAGTATTGCTAATTTTGTCCTCTAACAGCGTGTAAATTCTGCTGTGTATTACTCGCAGGAAGATCTTCAAAACGTGACTCATCAGACTTATTGTCCGATAATCACCCCATTACTTTGGACGATGTTTCTTAGGTATTGTGACAAATGTCGACTTTAACCAATGAGTTGGTAATATCCCAGTGTCATAAATTCTGTTAAAGAGATTACACAGAGCTTTAATTCCATTTTCTCCCAAAAACTTTAGTACATACAAAAACTTTTCAGCACTTACTTCATCGGGGCCAACTGCTTTTCCATTTTTTGCCGTTTGTATTGAACATGTAACCTCACTTTCTGTTATAGATGGTTCTGATATAGCAATCGGTGTATAGTGTTCTACTCTCATCTTCAAATAATTCAGAAATGTAGTTTTCCCATTCTTTTAACTGTTCATTGATATCTAATATTCTGTGTCCGTTTCTGTCTTCTAAACTTTGGGATACTTGTTTCCGTTTGTTTCCAGCGACCTCTTTTAATTTCTTGTGCAGATGAAATATATCGTTTTTTTTTCATATTGTTCAATTTCATTACATTCTTTACTATGAAATTGTGTTTTCGCATGTATTATCTTATACCTTATTATTGCGTGGATCCTCTTGTATTCGTTTTTATCTTTATTTCTGACTTCTCTTCTTTGATCCATAAGTCTCAGTATTTCTTCTGTCATCCGCCCGCTTTTAGCGCACTTAATTTTGTTTCTTGGACAGTCTTTAAGATGTCTTTAATTCTCGTCCAGTTTTCCTCAGTACTTAACTCTTTGCTTGATGTTAACTTCATTTTTTGTTCTAATATACTAGTTATTTCTTGTTTTACAGTATCATTTAACATCTTTTCTCTATCAATAGTAACTGTTTGCTTATTCGTCCTTGCAACTGTTTTTAATTTCAGTCTCATTTTTCCTACTAAAATATTGTGATCTGTTGGTACATCTGCGCCTGGATGTGTCGTTCAACTACTAACCAGATTTTTACAAAACGCTAAATTATCAAAAAATCACAAGAGTTTAAATATAATATATGTACCAACG